GCTGATGTCAGGGTGCTTAAAATCCCTCATGAGAACCAGGACCTGTCATCTGGAAACTTACTGTAGCTGTTTGAAGAAACCCTCATTCATCTCATCCTTCTGGTCTGGTGGCCTATAGCACGCACCAACCATGTCGTCATCCTTGTTGCTGTCCTCTTTGACCCTAATCCAAGGACTTTCAACAGACCTATCTCCAATTTCATACTGGAGGTCTCAGCAGTCATACAGCTCTTTTACATAAAGTGCAACTCCTGCTCCTCTTCCCTGCCTGTCCTTCCTGAACAGTTTGTACCCATCCATGACAGTGTTCCAGTCATGTGAGCTATCCCACCAAGTCTGTTATTCCAATCACATCATAGGTCCATGAGTGTGTGAGGACGTTCCATTCTTCCTGCGTGTTTCCCAGGCTCTGTGCATTCGTGTACAGACACCTGAGGTAACTAACCAATTGCCCTACTTTCTCAGGAAGAATGAGAGCCTCCCTTGTTGCTGCCTCTTGCTTGTGGTTCGTCCAGGTTACCTGCTTCTTCCCTTACCTCAGGGCTTTGTACTTCATCCTCCGTTGATCCTAGTTTAAAGCCCTCCTCGTTAGGTTAAAAAGCCTGTCTATGAAGATGCTCTTCCTTTCTTTCCAGGTGGATCCTGTCTCTTCCTAGAAACTTTCTTCTTGGAACAACATCCTGTGTTCAAAGAACCTAAAGCCCTGCTGGGGACATCATCTGTGCAGCCAGCCATGCGTTGATCTGCAAGTTGCATCTACTCCTACTCAAGCCCTTCCCCTTGACTGGAAAGATTGAGGAAAATGCCACCTGAGCCCCTTTCCCCTTCACCCTTGTACCCAGAGCCCTGTAGTCACTCTTGATCTGCTCAGTCACCCTTGGCAGTATCATTGGTGCCCACATGGATGAGCAGTATGGGATAGTAGTCAGAGGGCTGGAAGAATCTTGGTAATCCCACAGTGACATCTTGGATGCAGGCTCCTGACATGCAGCAGACCTCCTGAGACAACAGGTCAGGCCAGCAAATGGATGCCCCCATTTGCTGGCCTGACTCCAACCACCACCACCCATTTCTCCTCCTCTTGGTGTCAGTAGTCTCAGTCTTCCCAATCTTGGGGATGCCTGGTCTGGTCTCTTTCCATCAACAGAATGTGCTCCTGCTTCTCCTCCTCTTCCATTGCTAGGGTTCCATTTATTCTGCAGGCAAACTGCTACATGTAGAGATGAAGACTTTTGCTTGCTGCCAGAGGGCATAAGCTTCCAGCTTCCACCATCCTGGGAGTTCATGGGTTTTTTTTATTCTCTAGCACTGCCTTTGGCAGTCCTTCCCTTGCAGTAGTAGATGTCTCCTCCAGCATGGAATCGATTGAAATCCTCGTGGTGGAGGAGGCTTCAGAGCCTTGCTACTTCCCCCTGTAGCCCTCTTGCTTGGTCCCTGAGGGACACCACCAGGAGGCACTGCTTATATTGTAGGCACTCCCCTACCTGGTTGTAACTAGAAGGAACCAGTAAGTAGCAGTCTCCACAGTGCTACACTAGAACCTGGGTGGAAGTTTCCCAGGAGAAGATGGTGAGTGGTCCTACCTGTGTAGACACTAGGGCTGTGCGAAACAGCACCGTTTGGCTTTGACTTGTGTTTTGACGTTTCAACGGAACAGTGTTTCATCTTGAATTTAGTTTCATTTCAAAAGCACCATTCCATTTTTTGTTTCGCTGAAACACTTGAAGTTTCGATGCTGTTTCAACGTTTCGCCCAGGCTATAATACGGAAGCATGAAACTGGAGGAGCAGCCTCCTCTGATAGCAGGCAGATCGGGGTGGGCACCCCGGGGGAGGAGTCTGGCAGAGCCCCGCAGCCCTCCCAGGGATGCGGGTGGGAGGCAGCCACTGGTGCCTCCCTAGGAGCTGAGCCAGTGGAGAGATGGAGTGCAGCCTCAGCACTTTGCTCCGCTCTGCTACCCCCCACCAGGCTCAGTTCCACGGGGCCGCAAGTGGCTGGGAATCAGCCAGGTGGGGGCGAAGTGCAGCCCCTGGGCTGTAACACGCCCACCTCCACCGGGCTGCAAGTCACTGGGAACCCAGCTCAGTTGGCCTTTTTGAGTTTTCCCCAGTGCTCAGCATTACAGCCTGTTCTAAACAACTTCATTATAATTCACCTGAGAGAATAACAGCAATCAGCAGTCTTTTGAATATGTGCACACAAGAGGACCCCGAACAGGTTGCTATAAAGTGCTTTATTGTATCAAAGTGTATTCATTTTCCTTTGTTTCTATGCTTACATATTTCTCTTTTAAAATTGTGAAAAATGTTTTAAATTCTAATAACATATAAAGTGTAGAAGTTGTGAGTCACTTGAAGACAGGAAAGCACTTTGTAAAATCTTGCTGAAGGATATACCTACAGTAGGTGTGTATTTGCCAACAGAGGCATCGTGCTAAACATTTAGGAAATATATAAATGGATTGTGGGTTTCTTTCTTTCTTTCCTTATTTCCTTTCTTCCTTCCTTCCTTCTTATATGCACTCTGTCTCTCAAACATCCTTTAAAAAAAACTATTAAAGGAATGACCCTTGATGTAGAAGCCAAACCCCTATTCAATAAAATGATCATAGAACATATTTGCACATTTCCCTGTTTACTCTGACTCATATTTTTCAATAAGTTGAAGATGATAGTTTTTATGTACTTTTATGACCAAGTTTCCAACACACATGGCATTCTATAAAACTTACCACTGCTGCACCGTATCCCTGGTTTTATTTTAACTTTTTGTGTTCTGCTGTTACTGTAATGATACTTGGAGGACTGCTAGAGTTCAGGTTCTCTGTGTCTGAATTAAGAATCCTTTTTCAGATGAGTGTTTCAGTATCATCTCTTGAAAATATTATGGGTGAGGCTTGTCACAAGTGTTTTGATCACCGGGGTCAATATTTTCCCCCTTTTTCATGAAAATACATTGTCTCATTTTTATGAGACTGAAATAATAGGATGGAGGTGAAAAATGGTTGTATTTTGGCTTAAGATGTTTCTAAAAGTGTCTTCCAGGATCTCAAAGCCCCCGGGGCTGCACCCTCCGTGCCTCCACCAGGCTCAGTGCCCAGCGGCTCCCAGCACCGTGGAACTCAGCCTGGTGGCAGGAGGTGGAGCGCAGCCCTGGCTCTGCCTGCTTTCTGCCACAGGGCTGAGTTCCATGGGGCTAGTGGAGCTGATTGGAGTACAGCGTGGTGGTGGGAGGTGGGGAGAGCCAGGGCTGTGCTCTCTGCTGGGCTGAGCCATGTGAGGCTGCATGGAGCCTCTGGGAGTGGAGCCTTGGCTCTCCTCTGCCTTCCACCACCTGGCTGGGCTGCTGCTTCGAAATGTTTTGATCGGCCTTGTTTTGTTTCAAGGCTGTTTCGAACCCCTCTGTTTTGTTTCAATTTAGCTGTTTCAAGCTTGAAACGATTCAAAACAGCATTGAAATGAAACAGCTGGCGTAATTTCGCACAGCCCTACTAGATGCCTCACATGTGCAGGCAGAAGGAATGCTGGCAGCAGCACTGGCTCTGGCACTGCAGTGTCCTCCAGCTATATCTCCAACAAACCTTCCCTAGCTAACTCCCCTGTAAGCTGACCTGTTTGTTGTGCCTTGGTCCCAAAAGGTTCCCATTTCTCTGCTAGCCTGTTTCTTGTCGCCAAGCTTACAGTGAAAGGTGTGAGAGCTTCCAGACAAACTGTCTAGTGGACTCCCCCTCACTCTAGTTAAACAAGGGGCTTAACTATTGGTCTAACTGCCGAGTTTTAGCTACTTAAACTAAATATATTTGGGTTAGTTGCTCTTTTTTAAAAGAAAGAGCTTTCCTTAAAGGCTCCCCTGCTAATAGGGGGGCATCAAACTGATTTGCAAACTGTCCTGTTTGCTGTCCTGTTCTCTCGTTCCCTGGTTGCTCTCAGTCTCCTTTTATAGCCTCCTGAGCCTGGGCTGGTTCTAACCCCTTGTTAGGGTTTTTGTCAGACACAGGCAGCAATCAGTTAGCTAGCAGCAGCACTTCCAGGTGCTCAGAGCATATGCCCAAACACACAGGCAGCCTGGCTCACTTATGTTTCTAGCTCAGGATCTGGTGCCTAGCTTCTCTTCCTTTTTCTTTTTCCCTTCCTCCTTGCTCCCAGGAAACTGCTTGCAAATTGCCCTGTTTGCTGCCCTTATTCTGTAGGTCTTGTCTTATTCAGAGAGGTTGCAGTAGTGTATCCATGTGGTAGGCTCCCATTGACATGTTTGCTCAATATGGGCCATTGGTTTTGTAGCCATGCTCAGTGTTGGCTGTATTTAATCAGCTTCCCAGTTGGTTTCCATTGCTGAGCACATGCTGCTTTTATCAGCAGTTTAATGATAGACAGTGTTTTTAGTGAGATTTCCCTGTTTGCGATTATAAGATGAGGGGCTCTTTTCCCCATGCCATTTTGGGGGAAAAACTTATCTTGTATTTGAATAAATACGGTGCATTTATTCTTGTTTTGGTAGTCTAGTTCTAGAGTTGTAGATTTGTTTCTGACCGTAGCTTAAAAAGAAATCAGTCAGTACTTAAATGCTGAACTGTTTATACCTGCCATTATTTTAGCAACTTGATGTACTTTGCTTGCTTTAACCTTTCTAATGTCTCAGTACAGTATGCACAAGCCATGAGTCAGCAGTACGTGCAAGATATCTGAGAGTTGCAAATCACCAAAAACAAAAGGGTTTATAAAGGAAAATGAATATATGGTATTATGCTGAAGATGTTTTTATTGGAAGAATACAAGCTTCTGTGAACGCTGATCAGCTAAGGGAGTAGGAGGGACCAAAGTGTTTAGTATTGTGACTGGCTTAGCAGAAGACCACATCATCCAGTCTGTAGCTGAAGATCTAGCTGCTTCCAAATTTCTTTATCCTAAATCAAATATATAGAAAATAAATATATATTTTTCTTTGTGCTAAAACTGGGACAAAGAGGTATGTGTAGCACTAAGCTTTAAATGTTATTTTAGGTTTTTCCTGCCAATTGTAATGAAAATGAACAACGAAAACCTGCCCAGAGAAAAAGGGTGCTTCCACCTTGGATGCTGCAAGGAGACTTAGTGGTTCAAAACCTTTCTACCCCAGTCACTAAAAGAGGTATGTTTGTGATACAATACTTTCATCATGATAATAATATACCTCTTTATGACGATCTCTTCTTTGACCTTTTTGGAAATCAATATGATAATGTGACATATAAAGCATGTGAATAAACTGATTTTCTTCCCCTTGCCCCTTTGGAATCTTTTTGCGTATCTCCATTGTAGCTTGGTGGATGACTGAACATATCTAGTACTTTTGTCCCAGTTGTCTTGCATGTGAAAGTCTCTGATGTTTGGAGGATTTATTCAGAGGCTGAGCTACTGATGTAGTGTTTTAGAATTTTTTTATTCTGACTTGCAAGTCTGGGACAGTGAGCTGGTTTACCTTCTTAAGACACATCCAGATGAGCCTGCACATTCCTCTTACTACATCTCAAAGCAGTCTGAGATGCAGCAAGAAGCATGCTGGGAACAAAAAAAATATTCCGTGTGCTGCATATTTGGAGCACAGGCTCAAAATTTGATACCTTATCGAAAAAACCCCTAACCCCCTGTGGCAGGGCGGGGGCCTGGGGTGCCGTGTACTCCCCTCACACCCCTGCCAACTGTGCCAGATCAGGTTTCCCGCACCCTCTATCACTCTCCCACCACGTCTTTCATCTTTAGTTCATTAAAGGGAGGCTGCCTTTCTTCCTCCCTGGCACGGTGCCTCTGATGCCCGCGCTTCTCGCACCCACGCCCACACTGGGCCCTTACTCATGCTTCTCGCGCCTGCTCTTACTCGCGCTTCTCGCACCTCCCCGCGCTGCTTGCACCGCGCCTCTCCGTGCTTGTCGCACTGTGCTTCCCGCACTCGCGCCTCTCTGTGCTTGTCGCACTGTGCTTCCCGCACTCGCGCCTCTCTGTGCTTGTCGCACTGTGCTTCCCGCACTCGCGCCTCTCTGTGCTTGTCGCACTGTGCTTCCCGCACTCGCGCCTCTCTGTGCTTGTCGCACTGTGCTTCCCGCACTCGCGCCTCTCTGTGCTTGTCGCACTGTGCTTCCCGCACTCGCGCCTCTCTGTGCTTGTCGCACTGTGCTTCCCGCACTCGCGCCTCTCTGTGCTTGTCGCACTGTGCTTCCCGCACTCGCGCCTCTCTGTGCTTGTCGCACTGTGCTTCCCGCACTCGCGCCTCTCTGTGCTTGTCGCACTGTGCTTCCCGCACTCGCGCCTCTCTGTGCTTGTCGCACTGTGCTTCCCGCACTCGCGCCTCTCTGTGCTTGTCGCACTGTGCTTCCCGCACTCGCGCCTCTCTGTGCTTGTCGCACTGTGCTTCCCGCACTCGCGCCTCTCTGTGCTTGTCGCACTGTGCTTCCCGCACTCGCGCCTCTCTGTGCTTGTCGCACTGTGCTTCCCGCACTCGCGCCTCTCTGTGCTTGTCGCACTGTGCTTCCCGCACTCGCGCCTCTCTGTGCTTGTCGCACTGTGCTTCCCGCACTCGCGCCTCTCTGTGCTTGTCGCACTGTGCTTCCCGCACTCGCGCCTCTCTGTGCTTGTCGCACTGTGCTTCCCGCACTCGCGCCTCTCTGTGCTTGTCGCACTGTGCTTCCCGCACTCGCGCCTCTCTGTGCTTGTCGCACTGTGCTTCCCGCACTCGCGCCTCTCTGTGCTTGTCGCACTGTGCTTCCCGCACTCGCGCCTCTCTGTGCTTGTCGCACTGTGCTTCCCGCACTCGCGCCTCTCTGTGCTTGTCGCACTGTGCTTCCCGCACTCGCGCCTCTCTGTGCTTGTCGCACTGTGCTTCCCGCACTCGCGCCTCTCTGTGCTTGTCGCACTGTGCTTCCCGCACTCGCGCCTCTCGGGCCCTCACCCACTGGGCCTCTTCCCTATGCTCGCATAGCCCGCACCGGGGTCTCTTCCCCGTGCCGCATAGCCCACACTGGGCTCCTATCTGCACTTCTCACACCACTACAGCACCCTCCCTGGCGCTCAGAGCACCCCCACCTTACTGGGGGGCTCCTGTTGAGGCCTCCTCCACCCCTACAGCCTAGCCCAAACCTCTGGTGTAACACTGCACTTCTCACGCCACAACAACTAAAACCATGAACACAAACCCCTGGGCTATAACATAAATTCCTGGCCAACCTGGCTTGCTTCCATGTATCTCCCCATCAGGGTTTTCTCGAGCTCCATTCTCCTTGGCAGCCAGAGGGGGACTGAGCTCTGGCCCCGGCCTATGTTGTTTATAAAGGCCAGGCCCTACCCCCTTCCGGTCAGCTGACCAGACCGGTTGTCATGGCAACCCCGCACCTGTGCTGCCCTGGTGATTGGCAGCTGAGCTTGTAACACTGCCTCCAGTAGCAGGCACCTTAGTGCCCTGCTACAGCCCC